TCTAGAAGCTCATGCTTCAGCCTGAGCTGTGAAGAGTTTTCTATACAGCTGCAGCTTCTGGCTGTTACAACCAGAATGTGCTTGTAGGATGTAATGAGCCAGGACGGAGATTTTAACTCTGTCACTTTTGGTATGTCCAACCTAGTCCTCAGTGGGCAGGTTTGGGGACCTCAAGGCCACACTGCAAAGGCTTGTTGTCTTAGCTTGGACCCAGTCTCAATGTTAAGTCTCAACATATGCTGAACGAGGTAGAGGTGTAAGGATTGAGCAGGACAGAGTTTAAAAAAAAAAAAAAGTGTTTTAGTCAAAGGAACTACATTAGATAATACAAAGATTACCAGTCAATGTTTCTCAGTTTTTTGACTTGACTCTTCTGTCTTTTTCATGTTCTTGTAAGTCTTCTTTTGCATGGATAGTATATACCAGGGATATTACAATATCCAAACAAAAAGACACCTGCCCAGCAAAACAATCAGTCTTTGGAACTAGGAACTTCTTATTTTGTGGCTTTTGTCAGGCTCTGTCACCAATTTGAGAACTTTCCCTGCATGGCAGTGGAAGCTTCTCTACATTTGTTTTGAGCCCACTTCCCGACTCTGCTCTTGTGTTTCACTCTGCTTACATGGATGTATTCCTGTGTGCACAGGGAAGCTCCTTAGATTCACTGAGGGGAGCGGTCTCATTTTCAGAACACAAACAGCCCTGGAATCCTCTATGTACACCTTTTCCCGTACCTCTCAAGGGCACGACCTGGCACCAGCATCAAAAGACACAGAGGCAGAAGTGATTATCTGATTGTGTTGAGTCAGTTTTTACCAAATTAGGAAAACAAAATGTTCCTGCCCTCCATAACTTCTAGAAGAGGCAATTTCTTTGTTATTTAATATGATTTTGAAGCAGATAGCCTGTGTAAAGTTTGCTTTGTTGCATGTTGCCCAAAGAAGATTCTCTTTGCCTTTGCTTGGTTCTTTGGCAGCAGGAAAATCAGTCTGTGCACTGGATTCTCCATGCTCTATTAAGTTTGTAGGTGTCTTATAGGTTATCTCTTAGTTCTTGTATTACTTTTTTACCCATAGAAACTGGCAGTGTCTGAATCCGTCTGGATCTGGTATTGGCTGGGGTAGCTCTGTGTCTGATCCCTTTTTTAAAAAAGCAGATGAAGAGAAGTTGGACAGAAGTTCTGTCATTGGGAAGTGCATAGTTTGCACTGCTGGCTAGGGACACTCCAATATAACAGGCACTTCAGTAATGGGTAACATAGATATAGAAAATAATATTTGCACAGTTGTCCTGTCCTGGAGAAATTATGTGAAAATGGGTTTTCTTTTCAGTGAAGCAGGCTTCTGAATATACTGTCTATTGCAGAGCATAATTTTTTTTTCTGTTAAAAAGATGTTGGGAAATAGAGCAGCTTTTAAATCCTATTTCTAGCGATGGAGGTTTCTTACAGGAAGAGAGGAGGCAGTGCATTCTGGGTGTTGGATCCTCTTTTAATTAATTAAAAGGCCAAACTCAGGAATTCAAGGAACACAGAAATATCCCTCATATCAAAGTTATCAGTTGCTTTGGCCAGAGATTGGGTTCTTCCCTGCCAATTGCAAATAACCCAGAAAACGAATGTCTCCCATAAGGAAGCCAGCCCACTGCAGCTGTTTTCAACACTGCCATTAGGTTCCTTCTGCTTCCTTCTTCCTCTGTGCTAATTCAGGGAGTCATATTCCTGCTCATGCAAAGTGTAACTCACAAGTCGAGGCCCGCTAAGCAAGGACTTCCAGCTGTTTCATTCCTATAAGCATATAAATATTTATACCACCCCAGGGTTCCTTTCATGCTGAAAATAAAGGTAGCACTTGTCTGCTGTTAAAATATATTACCCGGGAGATAAATGTCTTACCTCAGTATTAGGAAGATGGATGAGAGGAGTGGAAAATTGGCTATAATATTGGTTGGAAGATCCACTGAGTCCAGAGAACCTTGCTGTTTACTTAAAACTCCTGCTGGGAACTGACATCGAGGTTGATAGTGCTGTGTTTAGCTATCAAGAGATGATTAATTAAAAGGTGTAATAAATGTAAAATATAGTGGCTGACAGATGCAGAGCTAGCTAAATTTCCTTGTGATGGGTAATGTGTACCATGGATTGATTATAACATCCTAATAGGATGTGAATGGTGATTTTGAAGGTGCAGATGAGACAGGGAGAGTGTGCATAAGGCCACATGTAAAGTGAGATGGCAGTTTACCTCTGTGGCATTTTGGTGCTCTACCTCTTTGTGTCCCACCTCAAGTCCAAATGTATTCTGATCAAGGCTGCTGGGAGTAATTTCCTACCCACTGCACTGGAGCAAAGGAAATATCAATCCCAAGCGAACTGGGATTCTGTGGTGGCCTCTCTGCCCTGATTCTCCTGCCCAGCCATAAAATGAGAGATAGTGATGCTGTGCCTCTGTGCCCCTGCATGGCCGGTGCTGGTTGCAAGGCTGTGTGAAGGTCTGGAAAACTGCTGGAAGGCTCTGCTGTTAATTGGAAGCGTGATGAGAAAGTCTCTTGAGTCAGCCTGCTGACTTTGAGGAACTCGGCTAGGGTGCTGCCTTGCCCTTCAGTACACGCTGCTGTCACTTGGGGGCCCCTCGCATCCTCCTTCTCATCTGTCACTGGATTTAGACGGAGCATGCTGAGAGCAGCCCGGTTTTCTTCCAGCAAGAGTTATTTCACGGACCATTCCAGATTCTGATAAATGAAGCGTGCCTTGATGTCATTTTAGAGTAATATCTGTATTGAAATCGGAACTTGTGAAAATATGTAGGACTTGCCTTTGTGCTTTCCTTTGTTCAGGATAATTGTCGTGGCTTGTTGTATGATTAAAGGGCCTGACTGAAAACAAAAATATACCATGTATAAGTAGAGGTTTAATGAAATAGTAATTCTTCCCTTAAAGTGAAATTGTTTTTGACATAAGATAGCAAAATAAAGAAATTCTCTATTCCTCTCCTTTTTTTGGGAAAATATTTATTAGGTAATGAAAATCCAACTTGAACCAATTGTTTTGCCCAATTTTTGTCTTACCTGATAAAATAGATTGATTTTTCTCTTCCTTGAAATTGCTAAAAGAGGTAAGGACAAGAGGAAGAGCCTGATGAAAATCTTAGCATTGGGGGACTTTATGCTATAAATTTGCAAACACCTACTCCAAAGGTTTTTTGAAAATATCTCTGCCTTGTGAAATGCTGAAGGGGAAACACCATCTTCCACACCAACCATTGTTAATGTCCTTTCAGTATGAGAGAGCTTTCACCCTCCCAGTGCTCCCTGTTGACTTGCTGCCAGCTGCTCATGTATGTAATGTATCTGAGTGTGCTTAAAATCCATTCCCATCTATGAGGAAATAGATTGCTTGTACAAATACAGCACCATACATCACATACATTCTCCATATGTGCTGCAGTTTGGAATGTCAGTGAGCAGGGAAATGAGGATCGGGGCTATTTTAGAGGATGGAAATGCCAGAGAAGAGACAGAGAAATGGAGCGATTTATTTGTTTGGATAAATCTCCCTTTTACTGAATTGCTTTAATGCTGTGCCTGTTTCTCGTTCTTCCTCTCCTTCTCTTTTGATGCTTCTTTCATTGCAGTTTTTCAAATATGTAGGCAACAAAAAACCACGGCCAGTGAAATGGAAGATTACAATTATGCATCAGTATTCCTGTAACGTGGCTGCTCAGTAATGTCTCCTGGGAGTGTTACAATGAATATCTGACATTAATTGGCTCAGTACCTGTATGTCTGACCTTGCAGAAATTTAATAGATCAATTCTACATGTTCTTTACTGATAAAAAAAACTTCTTCAGGGCTGCATCTTTGGGCATGCCTGCACCACAGTGACAGCCAGAAGTAGCAGTCAGATTCACTGGGTCTTAGAATAAAAAATAAAATAATAGAAAGAGGAATCATAAAGTGGTTTCTCTCTCTTGTTTTGCCAAGGCAGCTCTGTTCCTCAGCAATTTTTAACCCATTTGACGTCCTTTTCACTGCCGGATACTGTACACTTGATGCACAAATGCTGTTTCCTCTTCTTTGAGTAGTACATGTATGGCCTTCATATGTGTGTTTGACATACTGAACAAAATAACTGAACCGGGTCAGAATTAGAGGAACAGCACCTACTGGGCCATACTTGCATTGAAACAGCAGCCTCTTTTGTGTCGCACACTCTCCGGTGGCTGACTCTGCCAGGAGGATCTCGCAGGGGGCTGCGCGCCGCTCTCCGGCAGCCGCCGTGTTTCAATGCGCCCTGCTCAGTCAGCAGCAAGCCCTCATCTCCCGCACTGCTCAGTCAGCTGCCTTTGGCTGCGCTGGGGATCTGGGCTGCGTGTGCACAAATGGATGATGGTTCAGCTCTCTTCAGTTTCAGGGAGCAGAGAGGGAGAAAGTCGATGTCTAAACCGCAGCTTAGCTAAGATTCACACACGCGGCGGTCACTGGGCTGAACTTTCTGCGGGGGTGTTTGTTTCCCAAGTTAAAAACTTGTTGAAAAGAAGGGAGATCCGTTCACGGAGTATTTTAGGAGATGCTCAGAGGCACACATTACATGCCTGCCCCACTGTTTTTACCGCCTTTATTGAAGTACAGGAGAGAAGCTTTACAGAAGGTGTATTCTGCCTCCCTATTACTGGCGTGCTCGGGAGCACTTGCCGCTTTCAGACTATTGTTACCTGTCCCCTGCTTTGTTTGACTGTCTAGGAATTAAACGAGCCATCACCTTGGGGACACGGAAACCCGCATATTCAAAGTCCCCCTCCCACTGGCTTCTGTGAATTAAAATCCAGCACACGGAGCCCAGTGCAGCTCACAAAGGGAGCGCGTTCCGGGGTGCAAGGAGCCCCCTCCCCAGTTTAGGTCTCCGGCAGCGGTCCCCCCGGGCGCGGGATGGCAGCCCCAGCCCCGGTCCCGGCGGGCACTGACCGCGCTCTCTCTGTCCCTCTCGCCCTGCGCACGGAAGGTGGACGATGGAGGCAGCGGCGAGCGGGCGCGGGAGGCGGCCGGCGCGGCGCTGGTGCTGCGGAAGGTGTGGTCACGCAGCCCGGCCCCCGAGCGGCGCGGGAGGTAAGGCTTCCGCGGCTCCGGGCGTGCGGGGCTGGGCCGGCCGGGCCGGGCTCGGCGGCGGCGGCGGCGGGCGGGGCGGCGGCCCGGGGCCCCGGCAGGGCGATGGCCCCCGAGGGGGGAGCTTAGGGGCCGGGCGCGGCGCGCAGGGAGCGGGTGCCATGGGCAGCGGCAGGGTGCGGGTGCCCGAGGCGCTGGCGGGCCGCGGCGGGGAGCGGCCGCTGCCCACCTTCGACGTGCCTTACTTCAAGTACATCGACGAGGAGGACGAGGAAGATGAGTGGAGCAGCCGCTCGCAGTCCTCCACCGAGGATGACTCCGGGGACTCTCTGCTTTCCGACAGATACGTGGTGGTGTCGGGGACGCCGGAGAAGATTTTGGAGCATCTCCTCAGTGACCTGCACCTGGAAGCCGCCCAGGACAAAGAGACGGGTAAGGAGCGAGCCTGGCGGGGAGGTGGCGGTGCGGGGATGGGGGAGAGGTGCCGGTGCCGGTGGCGGCAGAGCGGCGCGGCGCGGGGATCGCTCCCGGGCACCCCTGGCCGAAAGCCGCTGCCAGCCGGGCGTGCAGCCGGGGCGATGCGGGGAGGAATCCCCGAGCGCGGCGCGGCACCGGGAGCTGTCGGAGCGTCACTGGCGGTAGCGGAGCCCCTCGGCAGCAACTTGAACCCGTTTACCTTGGGCTTTGGCTGCCGGCGGGGCAGCGCAGGCTGCGGCGGGCTTTGTACGGCACCGTCTCTCTGCAGGCAGGGCTGCCATCCCTCGTAGCCTGCAGCTGTTCCTGTATCCATCCGGATGCTTGCGGTGCACCTCACCTCCAGCCAGCTACTCGTTTTGCCATCAGCCCAGTACTTTGGCACGTCTGTTTCATAAAAATGGTTTATAAATTTCCTTATAGCCGAGGGCACACCGTATCGCCCGGTGCTCTACTTGTTTGTCTTCAACCAGAGATATTTCATTCCAGCCTAGAGCAATTTTATATGAATAGGGCTACTTGACATGCAGTTTAATTTCCAGCTGGATCTCTTGGCTAGATGCACAGCTTGCTGTCACCAAGAGCTCATGGAGTAGTTTATCAGAAGTGCCTGTAACCTGCAATTCAGATACTTTTAATGGAAGTGACCAGGCTGGTGAGACTTTTGGAGGTCCTGAATGCTGAAGAGGAGAGTAGGTGGCTACCAAGGGCGCTATGTATTTGGTCATCCCCAATAGGGTTAAAATGCATACTCCTGATGCCTGTATATATCTTTCTCTACAAATGAGATTACTGAGAATAAACACACTTTAATCCTTTTAAATGTCTGAAAAGATAAATAACATCTGTGATTCCCAGAGGAATATCTCAGAACAAGTCATTAGTTTAATGTGGGACAATAGGCATATTCCAAGTACTGATGTGTCAGTGCCCCAAAGAAACACATAGTGTCTGCCAGTGATATTATTACAGTGTTCCTAGTGCTGCTTTTGTCTGCCTAGACATTAATATTTAGTGCAGAGAGAGGCTGTGGCTGTTTTCCTTCCACAGATGCACTGGGCTAGATATGGGTGTAATTTACTTAAACGAGCTCATAGGCAGTGTAGTAAGGATCCTTCCTTGGCCTTTTAAGGTCAAATATTGGATCCAGAATAAGTTTTCTCATTAATGTTTATCACACACAGATTGGGGAACGTCAGCTGCCAGTCTTTATAGTCTGCTTCATCTTATTTTGTAAGCTCACAATCTTGCTGGAAAACAATGATACTTTCACTATTGATATGCATTATATTTTGGTTTTTGTAAGAGCAAAGCACTCCTTATGTGAATCGTTAGATGTTGTATACATTCTCCTAGGTATTACCTTTTTTTTAAAATCTCTTTGCTCTTTCTCCCTCACATCACAGAGACGCTGTTCCTAAACCTGGTCTTTTTGTTGTACAGAGGGGCTGGCAAACTGTCCTCAAAGCAAATGTTAAACCACTACTTGCTTGGTTGTTAGCAGATGGTAAAGTATTTAAAGGTTGATTAGCTTCCCCTCACCTCTGCCTTATCCTAACTCCTTTGGAAATAAACAATTAGGCTCTGCCCTGTAGCCAGGGTTAACTGGATCCCAGGGACAGAACAAAGTAACTGTGCCTTCGGTTTTTTGCCATCATAAAGATGTGTGATAAACCTTGCCCAGCAGCCCTCCACTCCTTCAAGTGTGGACCTACCATTTTCTTCTGACTTTATCAATCTGGTATAATACAGAACTTCATCAAAATGAAAGACTTTAGGGGTTATGTTTCCCAGAGGTTTATGAGGGGGATGCCCCTTAATGGATTTTACCAGCTTGTTTAGCAGACTCAGTTGCCTTTGGCATGAGGAAGTATAGGATGTTGATTGTGCATATGTACAGCTTTGTGTGTGTACCTGAAGGCATCCTTCTGCCGTTTGGGTGCTTGGATTTGCTGGGGTTTGTATTTTTTTTCTAGTTCCAATCTGGCCCATCTCAGAGAACGATAGAGTTGCAGAGCCCTGCAGGCTTGTGTTTTAGCAGGCATAGCTTCACAGAACATAAAAGGACAATGTTGTTGTAGTTGTACCCAGCTGCTGCTCCTGCTGTCTGTTTGCCAGTTCCAGGATTACTTCCGTGGCCTCTTGCTTTCCCTGCAGCCCCCAATGCAGTTTCCTTATTTGTCTGTAAAGAACATGAGAAAGGGCTGTTCTTACATTCGCTAGTGCACAGGGGGCTGTTGTTCTGTTTGACCCTTTGCACTGCTTCCCAAGGAGGGATGCTCTGCATGTTTTCATTCCCACCCTTTGTATTCCAAATCATAACTGTAGCCCTCTATGGTTGTTAAAAAAAAAAAAAAAATCCACTATCCTGGGGCTGGCGTAGTCATGGAACGCTGCCTTTTATAAACACCAACATGGCTGAATGATGTGCCTTGGATTGCTCCCAGTCATCCTCCATTTTCTAGCCCAAGCAGCAGATACTGCTTGCACCTGGGAGCATAAAGCAAGTTTTGGGACTGGTCTGGAAAAAACTTTACTGGTGTCTAGTCTCCAAGGCTTCCTTCAGCTGCTGCTAAACCTGCAGCAAGACAACTTAAACACTCAGATTAATGAACTCTGCTATAATAAACAGGTGGGGACCCAACCTGAAGAGTTATCCCAGTGCCTGTAACATAACATAGCACTATTTTAGGAGCTGAGGACATCTGAAGAGAAAACTGCAATCTGCAAAGCTAGACTAGTCTATTGCTCTGGTGACTTCCATAGGCAGGATGTCTGGAAAGCCTGAGGTTTGCAAGACTCTTTAGGCTTAACTTACTTGATAATTGTTTAATGATTGAGAGATTTTTGTGATGACTGTGTCGGGGAGTATATGTGAGTGCTTGGGACATCGTCTTAAATTTGAGCTTGCCACTAACAAAGGCTTGCCAGCCTTCCATCTCAAAGGAGGAAGTTTTCATCTCACTGAGGTGCTAGAACCTGTAAAGTACCAACCCCCAAGAAGACTGTTCTTGTTTGCTGCCATGGGATTGATGGAAGTTTCACATTTCTGTAACAACCTACTTTTCTGAGTCATCTCTGAGGTGGTTGGAATCAATGGGGAATGCCTGCTGAGTGTGCAATTTAGAGTGCAATTTGGGGTTTTAAGAACTGAATAGAGAGATACACTTCAAATATGTGAGTATTTGGGCAGAAGATACAAAACACATCTCATGGGCTAATCCTTATCAAGGGTGGGGATTTGAACAAGTAATTTCCAAGAGGCCAAATCTTAGGGATCTCTAATCCCTTCCCATTGACTGCACCATTTATTTCAGAATCATTGTTCTTTTATGTAAAGTCTTTATTTCTTGGATGTTAGCAGCATTTCCTTCTCTAGATATTATCCTGATGTCATCTTTGGCGTTTCCTCCATCTGGTCTCTGTTCAAACATACTGTCTTGCTTTGTGGTGGTTGCATTCAACATTTGGCAGCCTCTGGAATAGTGTAGTGGTCATCATATCCACTGCTACTACTCCAGGCCTGCCTGGATTGCTCAGATCATTTCCTTCAGTCCATTGGGTCACCTTTCCCAGGCATCTTAAGCAGAACATTGCTGAAGTAGAACATAATCTCCCCCACTGCATCTGCTGACACTACATGTCTTTTACCTCTCTGCTTTGGGAATAATTTTAAGGAATGAATAGAGAAGAGATTTATTTGTGAAGGTCTTTGAGAGCAGGAGGCAGAGGGAAAGTGTGATCTGGAGAAAGGAAATAAACGTGGAATTGTATGACTGGAACAACGTGTTGGTGTTAACTGATGTATCTTTGTAGTGGATTGGGTGAAAGGGACTGTGACAAGGGGGAGGCACGACAGTTTTGTTAGGTTATTGCAGAAGTTGGGATGGCAAATGATGGACTGCTTGGAGAAAGATTTAAGGGACAGAAAAAGAGGACAAATCCTCATGGCATAGCTAAAAGAGAGGCAGAAAAATATAAGTATGGTCTGGATTTCTTCAGAGTAGGAAAAGAAAGGAATAATGATCTTTGTTGCACGCTATGTCATCTTATCTGGGATTGTGCATGGTCCTTGGATTAGTGGAACTCTCCCTTGTCATACAGAAGCAGTTTTACCTTTGGGATTGTAACATAACACCTTGGAGGGACTGTCAGACCATGTCTATATGTCCTAGGAGTGCTGTGTAGTAAGAGTTACTTTTGTTGAACACATTCTGTTTCTACACTGCACCAGCGACACCGCTGTGCTGTTGGGCAGTGGCACCCTCTGTGGAACTGTACATGGCCTTGGAGGAGAATGGTACCATCTTGAATGAACTGACTGTAGTCAGCTGCTTAATAAGGTTTGTGAAAAAGAGATACAGCTCTGCCTTTTCTAGATTGCCTTTCGTTTTAATACTCCAAGAAAAAAAGTCTGGTTGCTTTTTGATATTTTTTTTAGTTATGAAGGATGTTGTTAGGTTTTTTGCTCACTGTGCTTTTCACTGATGATTAAAAGGTGTTGAACAATGTACTCCTGTGACTGCCACACAGTCAAAGTGTACATGATGCATGTGGACTGATGTCAACGAGAATAAATATTTGCCCAACATTTTGTGATCCTGCTTCCAGGTTTTAGGATGGAGAGACTAAATGCCTGCTAACCCTTCCTCTTAACGGTCCTTCATAATGAAATGTTGTCAGTCATGATTTTGAGGGATTTTGTAAACTTTTCCCTGAAGTCTGGGAAGATTTGGTAAAATAAGTGGGCTAAATGCATATTGCTGCCATGCCCATAGGAGGAGAATAATGGTTTAGCAAAGCACATCAGTATAAGAATAATAGAAAAGATAAAAAATACTAATATATATCAGTGTTCAATATGAGAGGACCTGGGGAGGCTTTTGCAGATGACCATTGCTTTATGTAGTGTGAGTCTAAACTATCTCTAAATTAGACTGTCAGTAGAAGTAGGTTTA